TTTGATACACACACTTAGCCACTATTCTAAATTCACACCACAGCTCTCCTCACAGCTGTAGGAAAAAAAAACAGAGGGATGTGGTGAAGGAATCAACYGCCACTTGACAACAGAACTTAGCCAATCTAACATGCCAATCCAACAGTGAACTTACTAAAGGGCAGATATTGCTCTTGCCCTCAGTTCTTGCACAAGCAGCTCCACCTGTGCTCCCAACCCAGCTCCAGGATGTAAGCTTTGAGAAAACTAATGCACCTGCACAGAGGGGTAGCTATCAAACACTAGCTCAAAAATGCAGTATATCACATCCAAACGAAAACTGAGACTTCACACAACTGAAAAAATGGATATCCTAATTTAMCTGTTCATGAAACGTCCTAATGGCTACAGATACCTGTGCCAAATTCTGTGGTGCTGGACTGCAGCATCTGCAGAGTCAGAGTCAGAGCACGGTCCTTCACCTCATGCAGACATGTCCAACATTCCTGGGAAAGCCTTAAGTTTAAAAACAAAAGGGCACTACCAACTATGCATGACTGAGTTTAGCTCCAACATCCAGACACATGCATTTGTTTTTGTAGGGAAGCTGTTGAAGACTTACGACTAACAGGAAGCAAAACTAACATAAAAAACGGGCACTGATGAATTAGTTACAAAAGGCAGAGAAGCTGGTTTAACACACACAAAAAATAATTCTGTCTTATTGAGTTTATAAGAGAGGGTGATAAAGTGTTTTCATCACTTGCTTTAGAACTTCACACTYAACACAGCCAATAGATTTCAGGAGCTCATCAAATCTACCCAGAACAGGGTTTTGCATATGCATTTTCTACTATAGCTACAGATAAAATTTATTTTCACATCAAGTTACATGTTTATTCTTGAAAATATATTAAAATAATTTAATTGTTGAATACACTCATGATTCCTTACAGAGATAAAGCAAGATTAATTTGCTTAACTTCACAATCTGTAGCGGCTTTAAAGGCTGACTAGAAGAGGAGAAAGGAAGACCAAAAGGGGTCAGACACAGGACCTGACATCAAAATATTTAAGTTGTGATCCTCAGTCTGATTCTCAAACTATTCAGCAAGCAAGGTTCCACAGTCAGAAAAAGTTGAAAGGTGTACTCCAGGTCTAAAAATCAGTTTGTTGATGTTCCCCACAGACAAATAGTACATCTAACTCTTCATACTACCTTTTGCCCAGGAAGTACCAGCATTCACTAACTGACTTTCTCGTTAAAGTTGTACTCCTGCTTCAGCAGAACAGCTTATCTAGAATAAAAGTCAGAAGCTGGAGCAAGGCAGCTGTAAGTTAACTGGTAAAGTTGTTCTGCAGTACGTTCAGCTACAGTAGGAGAAGTTAAACAGTCTGGTAAGTTTTTGTCTTATTTCAYCTAAAAATAGGAGCAGGAGCTTTATTCTCAGCTTCTTTCCTTTGTGAACTTTTCATATTTTTGTTACAAGTGACAAGCTGTGAAGACCAAGATTTGTTGGGCACATCCTACTKGCAAGTGGAATCTCAGATTAACATCCTCTTACTGCAACTAGCAACTGTTTCCATGGGAACAAAGACAAAACTATGATAATTCATAGCGGCCACAGCCCCATATTGACCATGCCCTATCCATACCAAGTTCACATGTGAAGGTTTCCAACACTACCGATTATATGCAGTCTCACAGTCTTGAACTGACATATTTTTTAATAAATCAGTGCTGTAGTTTATGCCAACTTCTACACAAGAGAAAAACTGACAATTCCTTTTGTCAGATGTCCTCTTTCTTAGCTAAGTAACAGAARCAACTTGTAATTTTCTTATTATCATCTCTTCATTTTAAGTGGTATTATTAATAAGAAAGAAAATGATGCCCTGTCTTAAACTGTCCTCAGCAAAAGAAGTAGTGGCACAATCATTACCATGCAGGAACAAAGGCACACTGAGATTAAAGTGACCTACTGAGCCTCAGGTAGCAAACCAATGGCCAAACAGTCTTTTCCACTCCAGTGTATCATTAACTCAAGGTGGAGGCTGCTTCCCTGAATAACAGTTCACACTTAAGTAAATTCACTCCCACTTACAGCAGTACATCATYTGATAATAAGTACAGAAGTATTTGACTGGTGGAGTTGAAAGCCAAATCTATTTAGACTCACTGAAGCACTGTAATCAGATATCCTAACTCACTTCTTTTGAGCTAATCTCTTGCCATATCCAAAGAGCACAGTGCTGGTGTTAAAGATTCAGCAATTTCAAAAAACTTAAGGCATTACATTTCCTTACCCTGATTCTGTTACTGTACTTTACATGGGAACTAATTTAATCCAATTAATAACTCACTTATTAAACCTAAACTTAGATTAAAGATATATTTCCACAAACTTGATGGCATGAACAAATCTAGACRGGAATAAATAATTACTTATCTAGATTAACTAAAAACCATCTTACAAAATATTTCTTGACTGATTTTTTTTTCTTTAAATGAAGTGATCCCATTGAGGTTTAGCAGCATACAATTAAGAATAACATTTCCCAAAGACTTTCATATGCTTCATATCTTGTTTTATTATAGCAGTATAAAGTTCATACTGGCTGCCTTCCTAAAAGACATACTTAGGACTGAAGGAGTATGAATGTTATCCTGTAACATATTCAGCCCCCTCAGAGCACTACTGCAAGATGTCTTGCAAAGACAGGACAATTAGACAATCTAATGCACTACCTGCAATTAGACAATCCTATCACTTMTTTTCCTCCCAGCTAAGAGTACTAACAGGTTGGAAAACTGAACACTGAGTACTTCCAACAATTAGGAAAAGATACAAGACTACTAAGATCAAAGGTCTAAAGAGATTGTTGCCAAGTCTTGAAGACAAATGATACTTCTCCATGTTGTGGTTATAGGCAATACACTGGGGCAGCAACTTGGAGCCACCTCTTGTGAAGCACCAGTCCCATCAGAACGGTGAAGTTTGAAATAGAAACATCAAAAGGCTTGATTTCTGTGCCCATTTGTCATTATGTTTATTTTCATCTCTGAATCAGAATTAACTCTATTTCAAGATGGAATTTAAAAAAAAAMCCAAACARAACGACCATTTAAAATATGTAACTACACCATTAATACACTGAATGTGAAAATAGAACAGCATATGGCAAAAGAGATTATGGGGATTAGCCAATTAAACGGTATGACTCAAACTGACATGATCCTTCAAATCTGTATTYTGCAGTGAAGTATGTGGGGCCATGGGAACATGACTTCACCTAATGCAAATAACAAACCCAAAGTTCAGAAAATAACTGATTTGGCAAACCAGKAAGGAAGGAGAAGTATGAGATGTTCAAAATTTACATGCTAAGAACAAATTATTTGCTTCTGGATGTTTTCTTTAATACTGSAGTTCACAACACAAGGCAGAACTTATTATGAGCAGCCCCATGGGACAATAACTTTGATCATAAATTCTACACTCACTAATTATTCACATGCTTAGGACAGAGGATATTAAATTTTATATACAAGATTACAGACTAAATTGTTGGTAATATAAAAAAAACAGTAAATGTCTCAATGAAATCAAGTTTCCACAATCATAAAAGAACAGTATGTTCACGCAGGGCTTCAGGCAGAATGGAGGCCTGTGCCTAGGAGCTGAACCCAGATGGCAATTCTCACCATCAGGTCTCACAGAGACACAAATAGTTCACCTGCATATTTAACAGAAGGAAAGAGGCAAAAGCAGCAGAAGAATCTGGAAACAGTGCCTCCCGAAGGTGAGATTAGTGTCACCTTCATGCAACTGCCCTCATTACACCTTGTGTAAGACCTGCTCCAAAGACAGATCCCGCAGGAAAACAGGCCAAGATCTTATAATTTTGGTTAACCCCTGGGACTCTTGAGCACTTGTCTAAACATAATTCATTCATTCAASTTCATTTCAGCTCATTCTTCTACAATTTTTTCAGAGATGCATGAAGAAGYGTCAAAAATCCAAGCAAACAGTAGTTCACAGATATCATATACATATGTGACCAAGCAGACTAAAGAATTTGAGGCTTTATATTACTAGAGGTTTAAATGTATAAATTGAAAGGTGTATTACAAATAACATAAACACCTTTTATACACAGTTGCAGCTAAACCACCAAAAGCAATCACTTACAAGTCATTCTTAAAATTTATTAAAAGTTCACATCAATTTTAAATATTATATTATACAAACATATTTGCACTTTTAAGAGCTGAAAGAAACACAAAGTATGTTGAAAAGTATGMTACAACTACCACAGCCACTAAAACACATTTTCCAAAAGCACCTTTTGAACAATGCAACCTTAACAAGCACCCACTTCTCCAACATCTTAAAATTTCCTTTAGAACGGACAACTTAGTTGGAAAGGAATGGAAAAACAAYTTTATTAAAACAAATGCAGTTTCAAGTCTTAATTTGACAGCTTTCAAAGCAACAAGAAGCTACACATGGCTGTGTAATGGAACTGCTCTTACATAAAACCTGACCACGGATGCACAGATATGGAAACAAATAAAATTTACTTTAGATTTTCCATTTCCTGGGTTAAATCTTATGATATTGTAACCATCTGACTGTTAATCATAATATGCAAAATTCAGAATACTGTCTTATGGATTTAATGTTACATACAGAGCAGCTTATCCTCTACTTCTATCTCATGTTGTTTCAGTTAAAAAAACAAACCTCAAATGCATCAATGACAGCTTTAAGATAATGTAAGCAAAGTTCTGTGAAATTTCACCGATACTTCATTTTCATAAACAACGTCCTCCCCACTACGCTTAGCAGAAAAATGTTGTTTTATACAAAACTGTAAACATTTCCAAGCCATAAAGCGTGCTACTGACAAAGCCCTTCACATCATTTACTTCCTGATTATGGTCTTGGTATCTACAATAGGGTGAATGCATTAGTAACAAATCTGTATTTTTTAAAAAAAGTAGTTTATCTGCTTACCTTGAGGAAAAGAATTTGGCTGCACTAAGTAGAGGAATGCATGTACTATTTTAAACAAAATTCCAATTGCCCCAGGTTCATGGTATGCACCTGTATCATACGTCTTGGCTGGTACAAATCCAAAATCCAAAGTTCCAGGAGGTGGTTTGTATATAGGCTGTACCTCTGAAAGAGTACTTCCACAACACAGCAGCAGCAGCAAACAGAGTTCCACAGCCATAGCRAGCAGTATTCATAAAACTGGAGGTAGAGATATTCGTCCAGCCAAGTCTAGAAATCTTCAATACATTCACTTGGGGGCTAGCTTTCTAGCCAGGAGAATGCTGGTGAATTCTCACACCTTCAATTCTTAAATGTATTCTTCATAGGTACTTCAGAGTGGTACAGCAGCCTCTCTTGGAAATGACTCAGCACACCATCTCTGGCCAAAAAAAAAATAGAAGCAGCTAATTAACGCATATGCAAATAGGAAAGTGCACGACAACCTGCAATCTTCTGTGGAAATTGAATATATCAACAGTTGCAAAAGTGAGCCAGATAGGACAGGGAAGAAAAAAAAAACCTGAGATTTGTGAATAATATGCTATACTGCATACACTGTACTTGAAAGAGGTGGAAAAAACAATTATGCCCAGTTCCAGGTCAGTGAGTTTTCAAAAACAAAGCAGAACGTTGGTACAGCTCCAAGGGAAACAAAACTAAAGGAGCAGTGTATGAATCGCGCTTCTGACTAAGTACAATATGTCATGTCACAACAATTACACAATGCATTTAATTACCAACTGACGGTTCTATAGTTGATGACAATTATTACAAGTCATAGTCTGCATTTTTTTATTCTAAACCTTTCAACAAAACCTTCAACGCCAGATACTCCTGTCTTCCGAGACTGAAGAAAAAAATTATGTCCCTGAAAARTTACCAAAACAAACCCTCAAAATCAGCAAAAGGTCACCCTCTTGATAGATGACAATGGGTGTCAACAATTACTTTCCATTAATTCAAGCTATCTCCAGGCTCTCCCTAGGAATTGGAGAAGTCAATTTTTATTCACAGCTTGCTAAAGTCAAGTGTCATTAAGATGACTCTGGTTTATAGATGTTTGAGAACATTCTGAATCTATAAAATCACAGAAGCCTAATTTACCACACCACTTAAGAAATGTAAACAGAAACAACCCTGGATTTCCAACAAATCAAGTGCCCACATCTTGACCTTCATGAAGCCAGGTAAGACTCCTTCACTGCAGTGTGCAACAGCAGCCTCTGAGGAAACCACCAAACTCAACCAAATAAAAGGCAACAGAAAAACTGCTGCCCTTCTCCAATTTTGGAAGCTGCACATACTTGATGAGTGTGCCAATGAGGACCATGCTGACCTTCCCACCCATCATGCCAGCTTCTCTTTAGATGCCTTTGGTGGTCCTCCAGAGTGCCACTGGTGGGGCCGTGTGGGAACACACTGCTCATGACAAGACAWGGACTTTCAGCTGGGGAGCACCCAGGACCAAATGCCTTCCCCAAGCACAGCTGGGCCTCTGCTRCCTTCTTCAGCAGCGTTATCCAAGAGAATCACCTTCAATCTCCACCTTGATGTTCAGAACATTCACTGCCAAGAATGATAGCAAAATAACACAAACAKCTCATGGCTTCAATCAGACCAATGCTACACCAACACCTTGACTTCCAAGGTACAGGTCAAAGAGAKGCTGAAGACTGAAGACTTTAAATCTGTAGTAAGGTGAGACTTAAAGCTCTCCCATGCTTTACAGTCTGGTAAAATACCAGCAAGAAAAATACAAAACAAAGGAATACAAGATCAGATCAAAGACCTAGGGACAGTTTTGTTTATCCACTGTTCAAATGAGTTAAGAGAGAACACTCAAACCTATCTTTTCTCTTCATGGCTTATGAAAACTAAGAATGAACAGTAAAAAGGCTATGATTAGCACAATTACCCAACTCTTATTCTAAAAGGTGATGTTAACAACCACTCTGAAATATGATCTCAACATAAGCACACAGTAATTTAGAAAACGTAATATCATGAGTATTTTTCTATCTGGAAAAGAATGTTCTGTTAAAGATAAATGAAATGAAAGAAAAAAAAAAAGAAGTTCAGATCCAAAGTATTAATTTCCCCCCTTTAATTTTTTAACTGAAACAAGTTTTCTTCAGCCTAAAAGATATTTTAGTGAAATTTTATCATCTGCATGTCTTACTCTAGGGCTAAACATAGAAATGGTCAGAAAGTGAAAACTGCTTAGGCTGCAGTTTATTGCCARATCTCCAGAAACTCTACAGGACAAAATATCACAAGACCAGAACTACTTCAGAAAAACATATTTTGCCTTTATGACAAAACAGTGAAAACTGTGCAAGTCTGATACACCACTGTTCAATTCGGTTTTCTTAAAATGAGGTTTGAACAGCTTTTCTAAGGTTTCGTTTTCTGGAGATTTCTCAAGTACAGTTGCAACACTTCAACRAGCCAAGAGAAAAGGCTCACACATGGTAACTGGGCTTTGATACCAAAAGTTAAAGAAATGGATGTTAGAGCATCTATTTCAGGCAAATGTCAGGTGTGGTTGTGAAAGATGAAACTGAGAAGATGACGACTTTTCTAACTGATGTCCTAAGGCAAAGCTAGAAGACATGCTGTATGTACTGTGTTCTGCTATACTAGAGTGGGCAGAAGAAGATAAAGTACACAACTTTTTTGGGTAAGATTTTAGATTAAAGATAATTCAAAGTCTATCTAATTGCACAAACAGTCAAACAAAACACTGTTAAAAATGCTCTCCCAATATAACAGAATAATCTCTACACTTGCTAGAAATACACAGTCATGTATTAACTATGACAAAGTGGGCAATTTCAAGACAAGGACACAACTGAAATTCCAAGGACAACTCCCTGTACTGCGAAAACGAACAATGTTCTGCTAACTGGAGAAACTTAAGTCTCCAAATTTACACAGTTTTCAATCAAGCATTTATAAAATTCAAGTGAGTTTTCTGCAAATCAAAGAATCTGCAGAACTCGCCATATTCTCTTCCTCTCCCTTTTTTGGCAAATATATCACAGTAAACATGGTACCTACAATCTTACTGGGCAATTCTTCCAGACTGACACCAGTTCTTCTCTTTACTACATAAAACACTAATATTTTCAAGATTACATTAATAATAATCAGGAACTTGCAGAAACACTATTAAACCTATAACTTAAGATGCCTCTGAGCATCTAATATGTATTCAATCTATCTAAAAATAACTCAGATGTAAAAAGCTTCCAGCAGTTCTCCTTTTCTTGATATCTAAAAGAAACTTAGCTGGGAGCATATTAGTAGTTAAATATGCCATACAAACAGCATTAAAGAGGAAAAATCTATCCATGAAATCTGTAATTCTGAGAACTGTAAGAATGACATACACAGGAGTGACACAAATAAAGAGAACTGAATAGCAGTTTATGCTAATCTTCATTGGAGCATGTGGCCATCACATTTCCAGTGTGGCATCACTGCAATGAGTTACAGGAACTATAAGTACAACTCTCCCCAAGTTCAACTAAACAGTGAATGAAAAGAAGCTCTGTGAAACTTTGGAATGCTTACAGTAATTATCAAATAAGCTGCCAATTTTATTATTACACACCCTGTGAAGTACTTAACAAGGTAAAGATCTTAATTATTATATGTGTGTGGTTTGCAAATGTCCATTTCTAAAAGACTCAAGCTTTTGCATTCTATTTTGTGGTTGACACTAATACTCTATGTGTGCAGGTCACTAAGCRTAACTCCTGGTGTTTTAAACACTACCTCTGGAGAACACCATCACCCAAAGATGCAGCAGCATTATCATCTTGGATATATCCTGTCCTATCTGTTATTAAAAATATTTGCCAAAACCACCCTCTGCTTTAAGTTTAACAAGGGAAGAGGAGACAGAGCTAGATGCTTTAGTTCAGCATCTAGCTTCCATATATTAACCCTGAATAACAGAGCTCAGAGGCAGCATGATGTCCAGCTCTTTGTTCCAATGGGACTGGCCTCCTTCTGTTTAACACTGCAATCCATGCAAATACAACACTGCAGTGCAGTGATGCAACGATGATTAACCCCGTGAACTGAAATTCAATCAACCAGGGGCTAGACTGCTAAAGCTCAATGGGGGAGCCTGCTGGCAGTGAACCAGGATGGGCTGGGGTGGTGGTAAATGCAGTTGTCCATAGGAAGCCCAGACAAAGGTTTTGCGTACCTTTGTTACATATATTTAACTACACATTTGAAAATCCAAGTCCATAATCCCCTTGGCACCAGTGCCAGYAACCACCAGAAGTGAAATTAACACAGCCACAAAACAGATTGTTACAGGCAAACTGAAACTCCTAAGTATGTTACAAAAAACCAAACCCACAACACCACCTTCCCATTCAAGAGACCCATTACAGCAAGCCAAATTAGATACTGGCAGGTTAAAAAGGAATAGTTTTCTGTTACAAAATTTGCCCTAAGCCGACTAACAATTACAACCTGTTGCCATAGGAGGATTAAGAAGCAAACAAACCTAGKAAGCAGTAGGGACTGCAGAACAGAGCTTGGCAGCAGAGAGAAAAACTAAACAAGTAGCATCTTCCACACAAGGCAGCCCTGGTACCCATCTGACTCGCTTGCTATTTACTCAAAACGATTAAGGGCTCAGGTCAAGAAAAACTGGACATTCAGAATCCAGTTTGCTCTGAGTAGCTTCTTAATAATTTCAAAATTAATAAACTAAAAAAAGCAACATCAAAAATCCTTCTGTTTTACAAGTCACAGCCATCTGCAAGCAGAAACACACCTGTAAAAATTCCAGGTGAGATACCTTCCCCCAAGCATAAGCAGGTCTGATTTTCAGCAGACTGCCTAAATATTTCAAGTAGCTTTTCACTAACTAAGCAAAATATTTTAGCTTGATTTTAAGTGATGCATTTACTCCAGTATTCATACAGCATTACTCGTGAAATTAATTTCAGTATTACACAGAAAATTTTAAAACACGGTGAGTCCAGCCCATAAACAGTTTTGGGCRAATGTGAACTGCTGAGCACCGTGTACATGTCCTAACACCAAGGTACCGCAACATGACCCAGGTTTCTCACTAGGAGCTGGGACCAAGCCTTTCCAATTACTTGAACTGTAGAGACCTCCTCCTCCTGTAACACGCTGCCTAGTCCTTGATCTGCAAACTGCAGAGGAGCGCGGGTACTGCAGCTCWGCCTCTGCTGGAGTACCGACCGATGTGGTAGTTTCTTCAGCGGCTCCTCTGCATGTGTGTGCAGAAGAYACAGCCCGTGTTTACTACCACAACTGCCCCTTGTCCCCAGCTCTCGGATGAGGTCCCCGGCTCACTGCAGAGCTCACCTCTGCTGAGGAACACGTCTGACCAGCCGAGGTGGGCTGGCGCGATCTGCCCAGGTGCACAGCGAGCAGCCAGCGGCAGCAGCGCCTCAGGGAACTCCTCCGAGGCGGGTGGCATCCGCCGCAGCGCTGCCGCGCCGAGCGGGGAGCCGGCAGGAGAGCACGGGCCCTCTCCCTGCTCACATCCACCGCAGAGCCCAGCCTGGGGCTCGCCTCCCTGCCCCCTCCTCGCCCACGAGCCGATTTCGAGGAGAGCACAGCCCCGTCCTCGTCCGCCTCCCTGAGACCGCTCAGGCCCCACCGCCAGCCTCCCTCCTCGCCACGGACAGGTGTCTTCAGCGGCCGTCCTCCTCCTCCTCCTCCCCGTGGAGTGGCTCCCCCTCTCCCGGGAGATCACCGGGGCTCTCCCAGCCCAGCTCCTGCCTCTCCTCTCTGTTCATCTGCCGGCGGCTCACAGCTGTCCCCGACCTCTCCCCAGCCGCCGCTGTCACACACGGCCACCGGGGAAGGAACCCGCACCCCGCGCCCGCCGCCCCGCTCTTCTCGGCGGGTGGACCCGCCCCGGCTCCCCGCGGACCGGCCGCATCCCCCCGCCGTGCCGCAGCCTCCTCCCCGCGGCCAAACCCGTCCCTCCCGCCATCCCGCTCCCCGGCGCCCCCCGGCACTGACCTGCCCGCCGGCCGCGCTCTGCCCCCGCCTCACCCCGCGCTCTCAGGGCGCCTCCATCCCGCCGCTCCCACAGGTCGCTCTCCCAGCCCCTGCTGAGCCCCCGGGATCCCTTCCCGCGGGCGGCCCCATTCCCCCGGGCACCTGCCTCCCTCAACGGCCACCCGCCCCCCTCCGCCCGGCTTCCTACAGAGCTCCGCCGCCCGCCGACCCTCTCCTCCCGCGAGGGAAGGGGCCGCGCTCTCCCAACCAGGAGCTTCTCCCGCCCGCACGGGAGAAGGCGGAGAAGCCGCATCCCCGCCTGCTGCCCCCCACGGCCCCAGCGGAGCTGCCCCGGGACCCCTCCTCACGCACCCCCCTTCCCGCAGCACTCACCGGTTGAGCGGGGACAGCGAGCGGGAAGCGGCGGGGCACGGCCAGCACAGCACAACCGCTCCGCTCCGCCTCAGAACGCCGCGGCAGCCGTGGTGGCGGTGCCGCCCGCGCATGGATTATGGAGGGCGGGCTCTGCCCTCGGCCGGGGCTGCAGGACCACCCCGACAGGCCGGGATGGAGGGGGGAGGAAGAGGAGGAGCGTGAGGGGTTTAACCCCGGCGGGATGTGCTGGGCGAGCGGGGCTGGCGATATGGAAAGATACCGTGGTGCGGCCGGTCCAAGGCAGCTGAGCGGGTCAGGATGAACCCGCAGCCCTGCGAGTGCGCAGCGATCGGCGACCTGTTGCATCCTGGGCGGGCTCCTGCCCCATTCCCGGCCGGGAAGGTGCTCCCCACGCCGGGACCCGGGACCGGCCTCCGCCGAGGCACATCCCACCTCGCCGACCGAGACGTGGCCGTGCCATCTCCCCTTGACGATATTCTCTGGGGTTGGGTCGAGGTCAGGCGGGTTTCCTTACCCCATCAAGATGACTTACCTCATTAGCTTTTGAAAAAAAAAATCTTGTTTTACTCGTCTCGAGAGGYGTCCTTATTTCCAGATGGGTTTAGCATTTCCTTTAGGGCTGTTATCTRTGTTCCTAAGTGTTCTCTGTTCCTGAAGGCCAGTGATTTATTCGTAAAATGAGAAGTGTTTTTCTTACAGGTTGCAAGGCAGYAACACRCACTGTTAAAAGCTGCTTTRCTTTCCTTCYGCCTTGTGCAGATTTTTTTTTTKCTTTTGATTTTTATTTGCAACTTTGGTATATTAATATGGTTCCTCTATTGCAATATTAAAATATGAACATGATTGTTGCCTCTGTTACTGCACTCTGTTATTCATCATCACAAATGCATTGCTAGACAAAGCAAGCATTTTTGCTGGACATCCAAGGTTATGCTGGTTCCTTGGAAATTAGTAAAATAACTGATAAAGAAGGCAGTTAGTCTCCTTTCTGCAGGCAGAAACAAATCAAGGCTGCAGATAAGGCAGCACTCTGCATTGCTAATTCAAGCTTGGCCAAACATCGAACAGTTTTCCCACAGGTGGTGTTTCTTTCTCCTGAAGTCTATCTGTATTTCAGCTCAGGGCATTTGCCAGCAATGTTCATCAAAGAACAAGTGGCTGCACATAGAGCAATTGTCCTGACCAGAGCTAATTTTGTCCTGTTCAGCAGGAGGACAGGTAAAGGCACAACCCAAAATGGAGTGGTACAGAACTCAAATAAAGGCTTTTGTCCAGGTTCTTGTTACAGTTGTCATAAGCACCCTAAGCCCTGTGTCACAGAAGAACAACACAGTAGCCTTGAGGAAAACAAAACACCCTGGCAGATGGACAAATGTGTTAAATTAGTCGGATAGTCTAAAAAAGAGAACTACAGTTCCTGTCTTAAGCTTTGGATGAAACATATTCTAAATACAAGAGAATTTTCATTCCAAACAATGGGCTGTGAATACCCAACCTATTAAAGAGACAGTATGGTGAGTTTGATGCCCTTGCTTCCATTCAGGGTTAGACCAGAAAGGCCAAGTCTTACTGACCTCAGTGCCTCATGGATTGATTTTAAAATGCAGTGAAGGCATATGGCTACAGTGGTAGATATCTGCAAGGGTGGAACAGTCTGTAGGAATTTGACAAGGATGTGGGAATGCAGAGGAGAGGAGTGTGGAATGAAGCTGCAGAAAATCTTGACTTGCTGGAGCCAGATTTTCTCTTGGGTTACTAATTTATACAAGTTATAGGCTTTCTACCATTTATGGTAGGCTACCACAGTACTTCTGGATGAGAAATGTCTGTAGTTTGCATAAACAAGGACATGAAACTTGAGTTACAGGAAAAAGATACCAGCTTTCAGAGAAAGATTGAACCTGAATCAAGACCAACACTACTAACGGAGGCATTTCTTCTGCAGACTAAGCCAACACCTATCTTATGATTATTATTACCCATGTATGGCATATCTCCTGTTTATTTTCCTGGATGTTGCTATCAATAAAAGAATGCTTTCCAGTCATATCTGAGTTTTTTTGTACTATTGRTGTCTAGCCTGCAATAAAGAACTTGCCTGAGGTGTCTAGAAGTGACTGAGTTAAGATAATTTATATTGTATTAGGTACTGAAAATGTGTTCTCTGGGTAGCACCTTGTTAAAATGTCAAAGCTTGTCATTGTGAGATGGTAAATGGAAGCGTGACCTCTTCAGCTGCCTCACATTACATTGCCGGCAACCCCAAGCACGTGTCTGACCTGAAACTGCTCTGAGCAGCTGGTGACCTTTCCTTGATGTTTCTTCTCTGCTAACTGCAYGTCAGGTAGAGACAGACAGCTGTGGAGTGGGAAATACTGCCCCAGTTTGCAGCCCTTTCCCTTGCTCCTTGTCTCCCTGCMATCCAAACCCCAGCTGTGCCTGGGCTTGTTTAGCTGCACACTCCTGTGGGCACGGCAGAGGATGTGCTCGTCTGTGGTTTGCCTGCATGTGGAACACAGACACACTAGAGAGGCGGAATGTGTGAAACTGTGGAGTCTTAGCAAGCTCAGAGAGCATCAAGAAAACTTGTCCTTGAGGGAATGCATTATTTTCTATCTGTGGTCCTTTGTGCCTTATTAGGGCGACTGGGCCAAATTTAATCAGGATGCCKTCTAACTCTGTTCTTTATGGCCAAAACTTTTAAATGATCTCAGCACTYAGAGCTGAGGTCAGGCTCCCAAGGCAGCTGAGCCCCTAATTGCTCACATAAATGAGGAAGCAGTCTTTCAAACCACAGCASAGTAGGTGTTCAGACCTCAGAAAAYCTGCTATATAAGCATCCAAAACAGGAACAGCTGGATGAAAAAACCTGGCCTGTACTCTGTGGTGAGCATTTGAAAATCTGGCTGCCTATCAAACATCTCTGTTATCTCAGAGGAAAATCCTCAGATAACAGGAAGATACATGAGATTTAGAGCTTAACTATAATGGTTGTATCATGTAATTGATTTTWAAGTAGAGCTTGTGATTAAAGGTCTATTAGATAAATAGCCTATTTCATTAGTTGGAGTCAAGCTAGACATATTGCCTGGAGAGACTTAAAATCATAACTCCAAACTTTCCACATCCCAAAAAGAAAAAGGACAAGGTAGAAAACCTCTTATATTGTGTTTAGTCTTCCTCTGGATGTTAATTTAGGGAGAGAAAGGTACATGAAAGTGTGGCAGAGAAGCAGCATGCTTTCCCTGCACCAGGGCTGTGGAGAAAAGAGATTTACTCACACCCTTTGCCAAGAACGTGTCAAAGAGTGACAGCGTCCAGCATTCTGCCAGCATCCCAAAATCGAGCCAGTCTACCCATCCCTCATGCCACCTCTACCCTTTATCCCGATGCCTGCCCACTTTGCTCTGCTTTCTGGGGGTTACAGCCCCTGAGTCCTTCCCTGTCCTCTGCCCCCATCCACCCTGCCCAGCTCTTCACCCCCTCCTTCCATTCAATACCACCCTTCCCTTCAGGCCTGGCTTAGCCCCGAGGATTCTGCCAGCCCTCCCAGTTAGTGATTGCTGCCCAGCACCACCCACCAGCTACCTGCATAGCCCATGCCCTCCTTCTGCTCAGCTCTCCRTWGTCACCATTTCTCCTCTCTGTGACATCCACAGCTGCAGCCTTCCTCATCCTTAATTCTCCTGTGGGATGCAAGGCTTAAAGGATTACAGGCTGTATGAGTTCACAACCCGAACTCCAAGCTGTGAACCCTTCAAGGCTGGAGCCAGGCTCACCCAGGTTCTCTAGGCTCTCTGAGAGCAGAGAACTGGGGTTAGAGCAAGCAGTAGGAACACATTGATGTATTAGACACAAAACTTATGAAATTTGAAAGAATTATTGGAATACATAAGAATGATGGGAAACAGTACAATTGCTGTGTACTATGAATACTCTGACGTATTTGCTTAATTTCTTATTCCCGAGGAAAAATAAAAAATGAAATGGACAATGTTACTCACATTAATTCTCAAGCCTGAAAAACAATGTGACATTTCATTGCAGAGCTTTGATTCATGCCAGTTTAGGAGATTATTTCAGTAAGGATTGCCTTCATTTGAATGGAAGATTTATATTTCTTTAGGATGCCTTCAGAGGGCTGATACTTTTTCAGTTACACATGTCKTGCCATTACACTCTGTTGTGCCCCTTTCTTGTGACTGTGATAGATCTGCACGTCAACTCGTCAGGAAACYTTAAAATTATATTCGTTGTTTTTCATCTGAGGAAACAAACCAGTAGTAGTTGCTATAACAGATTTCACAGCTAAACAAAGATACAAAATGACAGGGATTACATGATGCATGTATTTGGAGCTTGTAGCTTCTTTTATGAGCTCCCCCCCCACACACCCCCACTCTGTTTCTCCATCTTTTCTATGTTTTATTTCTGTTTGCAAGCTTTGGCTCTTGGCATCCTAATAAACTACAAAGTCAGGAAAGCTTGAAACAAAAATGGGAAAGGCACATGTCTTTTTGACACTGGAACAAAATTAGTAACCCAAAAGAAAATTTAAATGCCTTTGGCTCCAGCAAGTCAAGATTTTCGGCAACTTCATTCCACCCTCTTCTCYTCTGTAATTTTATATTCTCTTCAAATTCCTGACTTGGTTCTGATGCTGTTTGGTAACAGACTAGGGACCAATGGCCAGCTACCACTCCAGATTTTGGTTCCAACTCCAGCACCTTATGCTTCTCAGGTGACAAAAAGGTCCTGGTTCCTTGGTCCCCAAGGTTCTTTCTGTGGGAACTGTATGTAATGAGTCTGTTAGAGAATATGGCCACATCAGAATATTTCAGTTTGTTAGAAAGCAACTTATGGCTCTGAATAAACGCTTTCAGATGAGGTCCTGAAAACCTCCTGCACATGTGTACTTTCACCTAATAGAAATTTTAACTAAGGATTTATTAAAATTTATTATCCTGTTTACCAAAGTTGAACACCCAGTTTGGTACCTTCTCTTCAAAAATGAGGGTCCTGCCTTGGGACACATCTGTTCTCAATACTGATAATTCCTTGCTTGTGACCAGTTAAGCACATGCAACMAATACAGCTGTTTTTTGTGAT